TGTGCTGGGGGCTCCAGAGCTGGACACAACACTCCAGGGGGGTCTCACCAGAGCAGAGCAGAGGGGCAGAATCCCCTCCCTGGCCCTGCTGGCCACACTTCTTGTGATGCAGCCCAGGACACAACTGCCCCTCTGGGCTCCAGCCCTCACTGGGGTCTCATGTCCAGCTTCTCATCTCCTCCCACCCCCAAGTCCCTCAAGGCTGCTCTCCAGCCACTCTCCCCCCAGCCTGGATTGGTGCCTGGGCTTGTGCTGACCCAGGGGCAGGACCCTGCACTTGGCCTTGTTGAACTTCATGAGGTTGGCACTGGCCCTTCTCCCCAGCCTGTCCAGGTCCCTCTGGATGGATCCCTTCCCTCTGGGGTGTCAGCTGCTCCTCACAGCTTGGTGTTGTCAGCAAACCTGCTGAGCAGACACTCAGTCCCACTGGCCATGTCTCCAAGAAGGATGTTGAGCAGCACTGGTCCCAGTACTGACCCCTGAGGGACACCACTCATCTCTTGCCTCCACTAGGACACTGAACCATTGACCACAACTCTCTGGGTGGGACCATCCAGCCAATTCCTGATCCACTGGGTGGTCATTTTTCATAACACCCAAAGTCATCAAGCAGCCCTTGAACTGCCCCAGCCCATCCCCAGCCCAGCTCCTCCCAGCAGAAACCAGTGCTCGAATGGAAGTGGGAAAACCATTTAGGTGGCAGATAGGACAGCAAACTGGAGCTCAGCATCCCAGCAGAGCACACACAGGCCTGATCAATCAGGTCTTTCAGAAATGCCACTATCAAGATGATTTTTTATGGGTTTTATTTTTTACAATTTCCAACCTTAAAATTCTTTCAAAATAAACGTAATTTGGATCCCCACGTTGGGCACCAAATATTCTGTCCTGGTTTTGTGGTCAGGACAAACCACCAGCCAGAAGGCAGAACTGCTCCCTTTTACCCCCCTCTCTGCCCTCCCAAGGGAAGATAAAAGGGGAATAAGGAAGAGAATAAGGGAATAAGGGTTGGAAATTGAAACTGGAACAAATTTACTATGGCACGAAAGGGAGGAACACGTAAGGGGCTGAACAGATCCATGAACTTGTACACAGATGGATACAAAACCCATCTTGAGGAGGGCAGGAATAGGTGGGTGAGGGTCCCTTGTGACAAGGCTGCTTCTGGAGAGGGGTCCTCACAGCACCCAGTGGAGTTGGATTCTGGAGAGCTCATGGTGAGTTGGAAGAGCCTTTGAGCAACAGCAAGGAAGAAGGTGCAGGAAAAAGGGGCTGAGCTGGTTCTGGCAGGAAGTGGAAGAGGGGAGTGACCCCTCTATGTTCTGACCCTAAATACCCTCCCTCTGGTTCCTCTCAGAGGTAGAGGTTGGCCAACAACCTGCTGGGCTGCCCAGACCATAACACTGAGTGACTTCCCTGCTGTGGCATGGGCTGGAGAAGGGCAGGAGACAAATGTCTGCTCTGATTTGGTGGCTTGGAAAGAAACAAGACTTGGCAGGACAAACCTCAGAAGGGAACTGGAAGCTGTCACAGCAGTTCCCCACTGACCTGTGGGCACAGAAAGGAAAACCCCAGTCACACCTGGCACAATGTCCCCTTCATAACTCCAAGGGTCAGGAATCCAGAGCTCCATCCATCACCTTGCAGGATATTCCATGAACCACCTCTCTTCTCCAAGCCTTTGCTTCTAGAAGAAGGTTTCAGTTGCCTTGTCTGCTCTTGAGAAACACTGAAACCACCAGGAAGGAAGTGCAAAAATGCTCTGAGACATTTTCTTCTCCACTGAAAGGAGACATCTTGATTGACACATTTCCATGTCTTTTGCTGGGTTTTTAAATGACCTGTTGTCAGTCCCTGCTGGATGGATTGGGCTTGATGGTCTTCAAGGTTCCTTCCAACCAGGGTGATTCTATGAAAGTGGTTTTATTCTGGAGAAGGGGTTGATCAGAATTTGGTTTCTTCTTGGTGTAGTTGGTCACTTTTAGCTGTGTGAGGTGGTGAAGCAGCTCGATCTCATGGGTGACCTGACTCCTGATGTGGTTTACAACTGTTTCTGTCTCTTCCCACCAGATGTTATTCAAGCTGTAGGTGCCATAGCTGCAGACAAGGCCACTGGGCAACCTTGGGCTAAAATTGCAACCATCTCAGCCAGAGCCCCGTGGGTCCTTCATGGCTCAAGACTCAACAACGTCCAAATTACAGAGGTTGAGTCGAGGAAAAATGTCTACAGGGCAGGTATTTACACCAGGTCTGACCTTGGAGTTTGGAAACTTGGGGTTTGGGTAAGGGCAGAGGAGCTGTTTGAGTGGGAAAGGTTTCACTGGGTGGGCATTTCCAGACGTGTGCCAAGGCCACCCCTGCCCCGTGTCCCTCAGCACCATCTCCAGGGCTTGGAAACCCCTCCAGGGATGGGGACTCCCCCCCTGCCCTGGGCAGCCTGGGCCAGGCCCTGACAACCCTTGCCAGGGAGAAATTGTTCCCCAGATCCAACCTCAACCTCCCCTGGCACAACTTGAGGCCGTTCCCTCTTGTCCTGTCGCTTGTTCCTGGGGAGCAGAGCCCGACCCCCCTGGCTCCACCCTCCTCTCAGCAGCTGCAGAGCCAGCAGGTCTCCCCTCAGCCTCCTTTGCTCCAGGCTGGACACCCCCAGCTCCCTCAGCTGCTCCTCACAAGTTCTCCAGCCCCTTCTCCTTCTGCTCCAGCCCCTTCCCCAGGTAGTGCTGGAGGCATCACCTGGCAGAGCCCTGGTGGGAGCTCCAACAGAGCCAGTGTTACTCGTGGGCCTGGTTCCTCTGCCTGGGTGTTCATGTCACCTTTGGAGGGGCACAGACTTGTGCCTGCTCTGTTGGATCCTGTCCAGAGACAATTCCCCAGCAGGCTCTCAGTCCTCCTGAAGAACTAACAAGCCTTCCTTGAAAGCCACTTCCAGGGACAAAGCTGATCCTGGGCTTCCCAGGCAAAACTGCAGCAGGGAAATCACACAGATGCTCCGGGTGGCACCTGAAGATCCTCCTCTCTTCTTCCAGCCTCTGAGAGCAGCGAGGAGCT